ATGGGTCACATGCCAAAGCCATTATGAGGCTAGCAGTCTGAGAAAAATCATTTGGGTTTCTTCAAAAGTTAAGAAAATAAAAGAAACTGTGTTTGTGACTCATTTTTAAAGATTTACAAAGGGCACAAATGGGCTGTGGGCCGTGGGCCGCATGCCACAGACAGGGCATGGGAAGTTTGAAATTATAGATTGAATTAACACATTGTTGGTTTTGATCTTTTACTGGTTTGTGATTGAACAAATAGTTTGAACCTAAATTAGAGTCTACAGGCATGCAAGCAGCTCTGTGAGGCTAGACTTCAGGCACCAAAGTGCTTGAGCGAAACGCTATCACGATGTTCACGATCCTAACATGCTGACGTTTAGCAGCTATAATGTTGATCATGTAGCATGCGGCATGAAGTGGCCACACCCTTAATTATGACTAACTTTAAGCCTTAATATAATTTACATGTGTGAGTTATATCATAATCCCCCCCCCGCACAGTTTTCATGAACAGGGAAATAAGCTATAGAGGCTGAAACAGTTTTTTGCACAAGGCTGGAAACATGCATTTTAATATGGGGGGCTTAAGGAGATTGATTACCTCTGCAGTCAGCCAAAAGTTCAAAGAACTGCAGTTTTCGGCACTTCGTGTTGGTTTCATTTTACACCCACGGAGGGTAACGCTTGGTATTAATTCAAAAGACAAAGTATCAGACGAGTTGAAATTGTTACCTCATGATGGTTCTAGATGAAACGTCAAAAGATCACCAACGTTTTCACAATTCATCCTGAGGGACACGTGAATGATTTGTACCAAATTTCATGGCAATCCATCCAATAGTTGTTGAGACATTTAAAAACACACACACACACACACACACACACACACGCACACACACACACACACACACAGATGTCAACCACATAGTGGCGCTAGAGGAAAAGTCAGGGGGTCAGCACACCATCCGTCATCTGGGAAGCGTGAATGTCCGTACAAAATGCCAGTCCATCCACTACATGTTGAGATCACTGAGACCGACCCATCAACAGACTGACATCGCCTAGAGCAATGCTGCTAGCAAGGCTAAAAATATAAAACATGGCTGTCCTCATACCTCAAGACTGACATTTAGACTGGAAGAACAGAACCTCATGCTGTTTTATGCCCAAAAGCACTTTGTAACCAAGTGGAAGAGTCTTTCCCAGCCCGCTCAGCAACAGCCTCGTTCACTGTAGATGTAGTGTACATCTCAAAATCAGCACACCAGTGACGTTGTTCATTTTAACGCTACACATGTATCTTATTTAACAGTGTCTGCAGGTGATCATGTGAACAGAAGTGAGTGCAGACGTGTCGACAAGTCAATCCACCTGAGAAAAATGAGTGTGCGCCCTGCGGGGAGGCACGCTGTGGTAACACACCGTGAAACTCTGGTGATTTGTCACCGTGATTTATCTTTGTTGTTCTGCATTCAAGGCGTAACAATGAGGCTGCCGCGCGGTTTTAATCTGCCAGTGCTACTGCTGAATGATGCTGCACAGAGATTTTTAAAGTGAAGCTCTATTACATAACCCTCTTGTTGTAACAGATGATTTACAGCAGCGATATGTGTGTGAACATAACTCGAGCGCAGATAGGCGTCTGCGGGGATTGTGATGTAGTGTGTCTGATGCACAATTGGATCCATCCTCACTCGCCTGTCGCTGCAGCCGCAGACATCGTTTTTCATATTAGACCTGCATGCTGGCAGTGTGCCTGACACCCTCCCTCTCTCTCGTCCTGTTTTCTCCCTCTCTCCTCCTCCTCCTCTTTTTACCTCCTCTCCTCTCTTACTTACTTGTCCCCTTAAATGAACACACTTCTCCTCCTCCCTCTCCTCGCCTCTGATCAGCCTGACTGGTGAAAAAAGTTTAAAAAAACAACAGCTTGTCCCAGTTTGATAGCATCATTGCTGCCATTTATGTTCAGCCAACATGTATGAGTGGAAGCAACTGCTCTGACTGTGAGAGAGTGTGTGTGTATTCAAATTCTCCCCGTATTAGTCAGTATGAGAGTCCAGCTGCAAGCTGCTGCTGCACAGGAAGTGGTCCTAACAATGGTGTTGTTGAGACAAGAGAACAGGAACACACACACACACACACACACACACACACACACACACACACACACACATTCACATTGTCATATCACGCTCATGAGTATCCTCAATGATGACATTCATTACTGGCACCCTTATATGTACCTGATACTTGAGCCTAAACAACTTAACCTAACCCTAAAACTAATGTCCTACTGCAATGGAAATGACGTTATATTTTTCCTAGAGAAGATACTGTGTAATGTGAGACATAAAGTACACATTACATAAAAACTATAAAAGAACTATAAAATAATAACACAACAAGGAAAACGATTAGCAAAAGACACATTAGACAGACATTAGTAAAAGGATGTTTTAAATGATTATTTACAAGATCCTGACTAACATGAGTTCCTAGATTGTTCCTCATAAGTATAGAAATACATGAACACACCCACACACACACACACACACACACACTAATCCAGGCATGACGCAACCCTGTGAGCAACTGTATGTCATCATCAGTGAGACGTCCTCTGGGAGGGAGCGACCCAGCACAACACGCTGCCTAATGGACACACTGGACAGCAGAGTGTGTTAGAATCCTCCATCTCTTCCACCATACAGTAACACAACAGTAAACACACACTGACCTATGTCACCGCTCTGGGGTCTTATAGTGCTGTTAAAGATTAAGTTTGATAGACCACCTTTATGGTTATGTAACAGTGCACTGTTATGGCTGTTCCAGTGCTGTGTAAAGGGTTTCAGTATATATAGCAATATTAGCTTTCATTTGGAGTTTTGTTTTTCGCCACAGCAATATAAGTTTAACATTCGCTCTCTTTTAGTTCTGTTTTGGTCTCTAATTCCTGAGGAAAATATCTGCTAAATGCTACATACGGTCTTGAGCTAGTTGCTAACTTTTTTCTGCTGTTTAGTGCTGGACAGGTAGCGTACAGCGGGCTCATCAGAGGCTAAAAGTCCTTACAATTCCTTACAACCCCTGTCACGTTACATGTAGTCATTTGATCCATTGTTGATGTGGACATATTGATTAGAGCACTTTTACAGTTATAATACAGTTAAAATGTTGATATATATATTTTTTCTGTCTTTCTTTCAGTGAACATAATTGTTCTAATAATGTCTCTGCACATTTATTCTTTGCTTGCAGTTTAACAAAGCAGAGAAAAAGAAGAGAATATTGGATGTGTTTTATCTTTATTTCCACATACAGCACACATGAAACTGGAAAAGAAGGAAAAAATATCCCTCAGAACTGATGCTTGTGGGTAAAAAGAGCTGGAGGGGCAGGAGAAAAAAAGTGCAATTCATTTAAAAAGTAATTATTTTGGGGTGAATGAACCCCTGTGAAGTGGGGGACAATGGGGGCAAGTTCGACTTAGTACCCCAAAAACTCTAAGGCTGGCCCTGTTATTAGTACTTCAAACACGTATTTTGAATTGTTTCAGGTCGATGAGGTAACACTGGTCCAAGTGTTTAACATTAACTCTATTACAGTAATGCTATTGTTCAAAGATACGTGAGAACCTTTTGTTGCTGAATAATGAAGCTCATTAACCATCAATGACTGTGTGTATTCTTCCCTGGGTGACTAATACCCTGACAGGTGGTGCACACACATACTTTACTGTTATTTGATCTGAATGCATCACACACACACACACACACACACACACACACACACACACACACACACACACACACACACACACACACACACACACCATCAAACCAGAAGCTGAGAAATTAGGTCTGTGAGTGTATGCGTGTGTTTTAAATGTGTACAGTGGATGTAGCGCGTGGGGTGGAAGTGCAGAGCGGAGTGAGTCTTAAAGCTGGAGAAAGACAAATATGAGGCTTATGTAAAGCTCCTTAATATTTCAGGTTCGTACAGGCACTGAGGGATGAATGAAAGAATAGATGGATGGGTGAATGAATGGAGGGATGGAGGTCTGCCACTGCAGGACGAGTGACGTCAGCCCTGTAAACTAAGGACATAATCCTCTGTAGGCCTGACCTGCTCCTTTTGTGTCAGAGACTGACATCTAGTGGGCAGCTGCTAGAACACCAGCATTCTGAGGTTTTGCTTTCATTTAACACTTAAAAAACGTCCAAATGTATAATCCTGATTTCTTGCTCACCTCTTTGTGTTACATCTGGGTTTGCTCGGCCTGAGTGCGGCGGCCCAGATAAGCTCCGAGAAGCACAGGCTGATGACGGCACCTCATCAAACTGTAACGTGGTATAAAAAGACACAGCGGAAATGAAGAGGTCAGCGATAAGGCTTATGAAATACACTCCTTATCTTTATGGACATGAATTTACCGTCTGTTATTGTCACTGAGACCAATATATGTGTGTGGAGTGATTTTGTGTGTGGAATATGGGTCAGACATCATCTGCTCTGCTGTTGTTATAAACTCGCTCCAGGCTTTATTGATGCTACTACGCGGCTGGCTACTGACATATGGGGCCAACTAACACATTTCACAGTTGAACAAGCCGGTACACTATGTGCTACCAAACACCACAAGGTTCATTTGGTTTTCATGCCAATAATCGAAAAAGGATTTACGTAGAGTGAGACTATATGACCTTTGAACTCTGTTTTATCAGCATACATGTATCTAAGTACTTATTAAGGGTTAATGATTAAATACATTCACCAGATCAAACTCTTCAGCAGAATGAGTTAGCAAATATATCAGTATATATGTTATCTTTTTTATTACTATATTTACTATTTTATTTGAAGTACAGTAAGAAACAGGAATGTGTTTTGCCATGACAAATCACACTGAGCAATCTAAATTTCAATGAGAAATTTTCCTCTTCAGTAAAATATGAACTTCTGAAACAAATAAATAATAATTTCAGATAATTAAAAACACATTTAAATAAATAAACAAGTATATAAACTCACATTTAAGTAGTCATGTGTCTGTTCTTTTTGCTCCACTTAACTTCAAAGCCCCTGAAAACTTGGTTTCAAGTTCTGAAGGTTTACTAATGAATATTTTTACTCTTACTCTTATTTTTAACTTTGGATCAAGTTATACATAATATGAAACATGTCGCTCAGAGTGATGAACCAACAGAATTATCATCCAACTGTGCTCTATTGTCCATTTTAGTAGGGGTGCAACGATACACTCAACTCCCGTTTTGCTACAATTCACAATATGATTTGCACACATTTCTTTAAAAACAAAATGAGATTGAAGACCAATTGAAAAAGATTGCTTTATTTATCAGACAAAAATCTAAAAAATATATTTTCTTTATCAAACTAATGAATCACTTTTTTGTCTTCTTTCAATTTCTGAGGTAGATGAGGTAGGTGATTTGTTAGACGCAGGAGAAATGGGGTGGGGTGTTCCCAGTCTGCAGAGGTCAGTACCTATCAAAAGTGGTTCAAGGGCTGAAAAGGCCTTTAAATTGGTTGGTACCTGATTAGTATCTGTAAAGGCAGTCTTTAGAGTGGGCATGCAATGTAGCATGCACCACTAACATAGGTGATATTGTGAGTTGAATACAGACCAAAGTCTTCAAGTTTTTTGTTTTTTGCAAACATTTTGTTGAGGTCATCTGACCTTCGACTACTTTGCATTGTGTTTTACCAACCAGCCTGTCGAACAAAAGACTGTGATCAACCTTGCCAAAAATAGGAAGATGGAAGATTATTCCTGCTCAGCTACAATGAAAATGTACTTCCCCACAGCACCAGAACAAGTGTCAAATCATGTCATGGCATTGCTGAGCTCCTGTTCACACCTCATGACATACTGTCTCCTCTTAATGCCGGCCATTGTCCCTGCATATATTCCAGGCCGGCAACATTTGCATATTTTACAGTCTCTATTTGTACATGTATTTAAATGATTCAGTGACGCCTGTGTCCTAGCTACTGTCAGTATCATCAGCTGGGACTGGCCAGATGACGAAAAGGTATCATTCGGACAAGTCTGTTTTACAATGACTCCACATTTTTGAATAATTTTGAGAGAAGACAGATTTTTGTGACACATCACCACAAATGTTTTATATCATCCTGCTTTTCATTTCTCTGGACTGCAAATGAAAAATGGAGCTTTGAAACCTAAACTTTTCCCAGAAGGACTTGACCCTGGATTCAGATTCTCTTATTTTTAGCTGTTCTTAAGCTGGTTTTGGTTCATAGTCCGTGTCCCTCCAGTTTGAGGATTTAGTGTGCGGTTACAGCTACTTAAAAAAACACCTTGATTCAGGTCTTTAAAACAGGATGGAAATCCCAGACCAGGACGTGGGGTTAAACACAGATGGCAGTTTAAACCCAGAACAAGAGCAGGAGCAGCAGGATGACTCTGAGCCTGATACCCAGCCTAAATCCAACCAGGAGATACCAGAGCCAAGGAAAGGCCCCCCGTCGCAGGTCTTCATTGAGTCCCGTATACTGCAGCTTCACAACCGGCGTCTCATTCTGCTGGAGCAGCAGCACTTCATAAAGAGGGAAGAAGACAATATGGGTGGGACCACAGAGGAAAGTGAGTCGCTCCCTTAATTCAGTGAAAAAACAATCAGTCCACTCGAATAATCCTGTAATTCTTAAAAAGAAATGTCTCAAAGGTTGAGCTGTGAGTGATTCCACCACAGAGTGAATTATCATTTTCATATTTTTCATTTGAATAATTCTTCATCATGAGGAGATACTTTTCTTTTATTATTTCACACGAAAAAACTAAAGATAAGGAAGAACTCTCCAAGCTCTTCTCTCTCCTGTTACTCACTAGTCATTGACAGCTTCTGCATTGCTCTGTACTTTTGGTGTGTCTCTTATTAACCGAAACAAGTAGTTGTTTCTACAGTATTACATGGGTCCTAAGTAGGCCACATACTCGTGGGTCGGACCACCCATCTTCAAACTTGGCCTTCAATTTGATCTCTAACACACCTGTAACGTTTTTTGGCTGAATCTGTGACACTATCGAGTCAAAATCGGTTCACATCTGGCAAATAGGCAAATAATAACAGCAGCCAAATAGTTGGGTAAACGTGGGTATTACCAAATAAGGTTCTGTTCTGTGACTCAGGGTGCTGCTACAATTGTGCATGCTGGCTTGCTGGAAAGGCTGCTATTTCATGTCCAAGTGGTTGCTGTGAAAAAGGTCTAGTAACAATCTTTTACAGGTACCTTTAACCTTTGTAAATTTCCTCTGTCTGTGTGGTGTCGTCAGTGAACAGCGAGGACAGCGGTGAACCGTGCGAGCTGGAGGCCATTGAGAAGGAGCTGGAAGAGCTGCTGGTTAAAAAGGAAGAGCTGGACAAACAGGGAAAGAGCTCCAAGCTCAGCGATGGTACCCTCCAAATGGCAACCCTGCTTTCCGTTAAAGCAGCCCCCCTTTTTTTCATATGAAGATATTGCCTAATGCATCTGTAATGTCACTGCGTGTTTGAACTTCTCATGTTTTGAATCAGGTCAACAGGATGTGTGTCCCACTTTCTGTAAAACTGAGACACCCTGTGGGGGGATCTACTTGCTGCCACCTCCCCAGCTGACAGAGGAGGACATTGCACTGGATTGGAGAGAAAAAAATAGGACTGCAGCAGAAGAACCAAAAGGCACAACCGTCTCAGGTACCTCACACCACCTCACACACACGTACACACACGTAATAGTCTCAGTCATGCGTTCGTTTAAATCTGAGTGTCTGTTGGATCGGTAATTATCTGTCTCTCTTGTGTGAAAGCGGACAGTCTCGGTCAAATGCCAGCTCTGACCCAGTGTCCATCCTGTCAAGAAGTTGTCTTCACAGAGACCTGCAGGAAAAGGGGCGAGGCTACGTGGATTCTTTGCTACATGTGCATCATATTGGGGTACGTCTTTTCTGACCTGAATGGCTGTAGAAATGGTTGACCTTATCAGGCTGCTGTGTTAAAACTAGGCTGTAAAGGATCAGTTCGACATTTTGTGAAATACGCTGATTCGCTCTCTGGCCAAGAGTCTCATATCTATGAAACTACAGCCAGGAGATTTTACCCTATTGGACACTTTTCATTTTTGTAGTCTATGAATCTGTTTGTTTGCGCTTAATTGGACCTTTCTGGATGTTGGTCAGTTCTTTTATGTTGACTTTAAAACTCAAATATCAAAGCGCTGCCCGATGCTACCCATAGACCTTTTTCACAGCAGCCATTTTGACATGAAATAGTAGGGTAAACACTGTCTTACCTACAAATTACGTTCTGTTCGGTTTCCTGTTTCATTCAGGTCAAACAGGTGCTGCTATTGTGCAGGTGGGCTCACTAGAAAGGCTCTGCTACACTAAATGGAATGGAGCCTTAATAAGTATCATTGGTAACCTCTGTGATTACCCTACTACTCCATGTCAAAATGACCGCTGTGAAAAAGGCCTTTTAGAATTCAGTCAGCATGTCACTGATGGAAGAAAGAATAACACATTCTTCCTCTTCCAGAGAAAAAGTTAAACCGATAAATAAAGAAACGCTCAGGAGTTTCGCTTCTGGAGCCTTACTTAGTGTGACCATTAGCTCCTGGGGGCCTATTGTTAGATAACTTCAGATAGATATCGCTGCCTGACTGATATTGGTCTTTAATATGAGTAGATTTTACGTTTAAGCTGACCTCCCAAGTGTCAGTATTAACGACAAAGTAGTTGTTGGAGAGCTCAGTGACACAAGATTGAACTCTCTTCCTTCCTTGCAGGTGTGCTGCAGGCTGCTGTTTAATCCCTTTCTTCTTGGACCGCCTGAAGAACGTCCAACACCGGTGTCCCAGGTGCCAGGCACTCATACACACCTACCGGCCATTTTGACACGGGGGTTAGAACAACCCCTGAAGTACCATTCCACAGCTTCTGTCCTCAAGTGACCCTTTCCTGTGATCTTGGGAGTTGTTTGGGACTCTTGGACTTTTATTCCCCTCCCCGACCAACACTACATTAAAAAATCTCCACAAGCATTTTCACATTTTGCCTTTCATCTGGGAGGGGCTTGTTTCACGTTCGACTCTACAATGGCAGCGCTGATACAAATTGCACAAAGGCTCAGATAATCAAACATCAAACTATTCTTTGACCGTACTTGTGATGTCGCTGCTAAAACTCATACTGTAAAAGTCAGCATCAGTTTGCCTGAATATCTGCATGGACTAGATTGCAGCTCTCAGCTTGCAGATGCAAAATACTGCTCATTTAATGTGTCAGATACAAAGGCTGCAGCAAAAAAACAGATTCCTAAACTAAAAAGGGTCGACACGTTTGCTGCTTATGTTAGGATATAGCTTTATGGGTTGTCTATCAACAATACAATGACCCATGGTGTAAGGACAATGTACTTTTGGGAACATCCATAATCTGAAAGCAAAATGTAAATACATCACTGAAGATATGCAAACAAGGGGCCACAAACAGTTTTCATACACTGTAAACCACAGCACAATTCAAATGTAGTGGCTTCCTTCATTTCCGCAGGCTCACCTGTTATTGGAAAGGCGACACTGTTCATATTGTTTGTAATGTATTTACAGAAAAATGTGAATTACTCAGTAACTCTGTTCACAGTACACCAAATTTTATTGACACATAAAGGCATACAGTACTTATATACATCTTTTTGAGTATTTACAAAATAGAGAACCCATGGATGTTACACATGTATAAAAATATGCATTACATCTATATAAATATGTACACAATGTGCAAAACATATGGCATACAAACAACAAGAGGCATGGCATGGGTGGTGGAGATGGAGAGGAGACTCGGCTACAATGGAGGATGTAAATCAGTTGATGAGGGTGGAGAAACCTCCTCTGTGCTTCCACTAATGTCTCCTAAGTACATGTATTTTAATGAAACTGTGTCTTGATGAATGGCGCAGGTGAAGGAGGACAAGTGGGAGAGCTGAAGTCAATACGGGGAAGCCTGAGCCGAAGCCTGTTAACTCCAACTACGCAAGTAAAGAAGTTCACAGGAACGTTCCAGAAACCTTTAGTGTGTTCTTCAGACTGATGGTGCTTCCACAGACCTCTATCATCAAGAGACCTCCGTTCAACCACTCAGATGCAAGTGCTTTTGAACTGTTAAACTGTATTATTCTGTAGTAAAATCTGTTACATTAATAAAATCAAGGCAGGATCTGACATACAGTACAGTATATCAAGGGAGAGCAGCCATTATTGCTTTTCAGCTGTCCCTGTCTGGCCAGTCAGCAGCCACAATGGTTCACATCAAGTATGAATCACATACATGTGTAGATTTGTCAAGAGGTTTGTGTATAATGTATGTAAATAAAATGAAATAAAAACAAAACTCTGCAAACCAAAAATATACACACTCAATCTTTTACAATGTTTGTACATAAGCATGAAAACAAGATTAAATGTTTTTTTCTTTTACTTTCCACGCAAAAAAAAAAAAAAAAGTGATAAATACAAAAAACGTGAGAAACATTAACAAAATGTGATAATATGTTCCACTGCCCTTTTGGCAACAAAATATCTAATTTGATAGCCTTAAAGCTGACAGAGTGGAGAAAGAAAACACTATTAACTCTCTCATCTAGGATACACATGAATCAACTGTTCATCTTATGTAGGTTGCAACAATGTGGGAAAAAAACAGAAATACAACTAGACCCGCAAGCAGGTATACTGGGGTCTACGCACCCCTGACGCAACTCAACCAAAAGGTGCACCAACCAGAGGTGACCAATAGAATGAGGCCATCTCTGACTGGGCCTTAAACAGGTGGGTTAACATGAAAAACAAAAACTGAAATACGACAAAGCCCAGGAAGCAGGTGTTTGGCGATACTCTTTTAAGGTGGTCAAACGTAATAGATTTGGGCACATCCACGTGTCTTGGCCTGATCTGATGATACATGTGTGAGTGCAGCAGTAAGAGCATCGCACTTCTTTGACAAGACAGTGTTCACATAAAGGGCTCTCAATCAGTTTTTGCTCAGGTCACCACATTATTGCTGACATGAAAAGCTAATCAGCATTATACAGGATTTGTTTTAAATGCAAAAAAATCCCCCCCAAAAAACACAGCCCCCATTTAATGTTTTCCTGCTAGAAATGACCCTGAAGTACCAACAGCCACTCAAAATGTGCCGTGAAGCCACAACAGAAGAGGGGCAACGCCCTCTAGTGCCCATGGACGTAATGACAGAATAAAGTGGTTAAAATGTTCTCGAAAGGAGATTTCACTGGACATGACTGATTTAAAAAATTTCAAAGTGCCATACAGTAAGACTGTATCTATCCCATAAGAATCTTTAAACTGAGGTACTGAATCAGTAACTCAATATTTAGATCAGAAAAAAAAACACTGAGTGGGAAATGATGCAATCCATTAAAAATAAACATCTAGAATTTATGACGGCTTTAAAAGCAGATAAGCCCTCTGTGCCGACGCCCCACTGCGTATCACACCTCAGAGGTGTGTGTGCGTTTTTGACTGTAGGACACCAACTGAACAATACAGATAAAAACAGTAAACAGTCATCAGAAGCCTTTGAATATGTCGACTGGATAGCAAATGATTTTTTTTTTATAGATATTAGCAAATTTCTTCACACAACTTGCGGGCGACGTCTGAGAAAGAGCTCGAAACTGCCCGAGATTAAACGTGAATACAATCATGCACACAGGGACACAGGGTGTACATGCAAGAGACAGGAAGACAAATCCACACACACAGATCAACATGCTTTCTTGCCTCTCTTACACACACACACACACACACACACACACACACACAACTCGGTGAGGAAACCAACTTTGTCCGCAGGTCACAGCAGCCGATCACAAGTTAGACTGTTTCACCAGCCAAATATTACTTTAGAGGCTGTTAAAGCAGACTAACATATCAGCTACAGGGAATTATTAACTAGCATGTTTGTTGGCTAGTGATGCAGTAATTTCTCACCTTGACAGACACACACAGACACACACATAAACATAAACACACACACACACACACACACACACACACACACACACACACACACACACACACACACACACACACACACACACACACACACACACACACACACAGAGACTAAGTGCAGAGATACTGTAGGACAGCTAGATATAAAGCTCATCTCCAAAGACATCTTTACTCCTTGACATAACCTGCAGCACACACAACGTTGACGCCTACATAAGTGTGTGTCTGCGTGTGTCATAAACTGATATTTGTTCCCTTTCCACTGTTTTACGCCAGTTTACTATCACGAGAAAAAAAGCTGCCAACTTTGTGAGTTTAGTCCTATTTGTTTTCGATCTTTTCAAAATTACATTCAAAAGAAGATACTTGGACAACAACTGCAGTATCTCTGGCGCATTTGGCCACAGGATCTTTACGCCGATCACCAGCCATATTGATCACTTCATATTAACGGTCGCCTCGGATATGCAAAGTTCACATTTCCTTGTTCTGAGGCGGATGAGGCGCGTCGCCGAGTCTCCCCGGCTCTTTAGTGCATAGCTCTCACGTAGGTGGAGGAGCATGCTCCTCTCGTCGTCCAACTCTAAGTGGAGTCTTTGTTCTTTAGAGTCAATGGTTCATCAGCTTGACCGCAGGGGTCTTTTAGAAGGAAACAGTTGCCTCTGATGCAACGTATCAGATTAGTCAGCAAACATGTAATCTACAGTATGTGGTAGACTAGACCAGTGTGAACAGAGGCTTGACCTCCTCTCAACTAGGGAATCCCTTTAAAGACGTGGCTCGGGGACTGACGGAGCACGCCTAGCTTCCCGTCAAAGCACTTAGACTGACTGACTCTTTCCCAGGTGAGTATCTGAGGCTGTGCTGACATCAGGACAAACCCATGTCCCAGGACAAGCCTCTGATGCATTTTTATTGAAGCTGATAAATTTCATGATTACAACTAGATTTCATTTGTCGTCCGCTAACCGTGACTGCCTTTATAGTGACATAGTTAATGCGTGGTAACAACCAGCTTTTATAACCTGGTATGGCACAGTATACTTCAGTGGAACATCAGACCACATGCAAAAGTATTTATGAACCATTTAACATTAGCTACTGTGTTTGCACAGTAAAATCGATGCAGTGTTCACTGGAAGCCAACCAGCCAAACCTCCAGTCTAAACAACAACGGTCAATTTCACTATCATCAATACTATTCAGGCTCTCTGTCCCAGAGAAAGTAAAGTTGTATTAGGGTGGTTTAAAGAGTATTTACAAACAGTCTGTGCTACCAGTATTCATTTGGCTGTCTCCTCGTCTCTGTAAGTGATCATTAAAACCATGACATCAGACACCGAGAAAGTCTACTCTGTTTAAAACCCCTTTATCACTAATACTACGGGTGACCACGATCACCTTGGTGATGACCTTATTCTGGCTCTGGTTCAGCCACAACAGACCTTCTTTTAAAGCTGTTCAAACGCCTGCTCGTAGTTCAGCTTGAATCAGTGCACTGCCTGTACAGCGTTTCTTACTGTAGTATAGTGGGAATATTACAGATGGTATGGATGTACTGGAAAGAGTGATATGGCACAGAAGTACCATGTATTCTCCTCCTTTTGCTTCCTTATTTAATATGTTGAAACTCCTCCGTCTGTCGGCCCCTTTCTACTTCTCTTCTCTTCATCCATCCATCCATCCATCCATCTCTCGCTCCTGGCTCAGCTCCCTTCACTTAATCTTTCTTTTTCTTTCATCCATCCCTCCGTCAGTCCCAGTGCAGCTGCAGGTCGTGTGTATCCAGGAAGTCCGTTGGGATCCCCAGAGGTGTGAGTGCCCCGGCGGGACCAGGAGGCATGGTGAGGTCCAGCCACTCCATATTGTCCAGGCCCGGGTCAGACAGGCCCATGTTGAGCGAGGAGGGAGGCGAGGAGGAATCACAGAAGGACAGGTCTGATGTGTCCATGGGTGAGTAGGGTTGCTGGTCCATCAGCTGGGCCTGCAACTCCTCCATCAAGCCCCGTGTGCGCGGGTCTGTCGCTGTCGTCGTATCGGCCAGCGTGCCCTCCAGAAAGGCCTCCAGTTGATTGTCTGTGGCCAGCGAGGAGAGGGTGGGCAGGCTATGGCCGATGATGGGGCTCAGGGTTGGCGGAGGGGCCAACTGGATCTGTGGAGGTGGCCTGGAGAGGGCAGTGTTGACTGGTAGGGTGGTGATGTTTGCTGTGACTGGGACTGTCTTTGTGACAGACACTGAAGGGTCTTGCTGGATAAATGGAGTGATTTCTGGGGAGAGGGGGAGGGATAAAAACATGGATTATTATGAGGGTACAACCAGTGAGTGCTCCTTTGAAGACCGGCACTGACAGACTTTTTTAATCAAATTTTATAGAATAGTTTGTTCACAGTGGGACAGTAAGCTCAGAAACTGGTACTACTTTTTTTGTGTATTGGCCAAGACAATATGAATCATAATCAGTCCAATTCTGTTAGCCTAAGATGTAATGCTGCCTACACAGCTGCTTCCTCAGCGTTTTCCTGAGACCAACTTACTCAAACTAAAGACAGTGGGTTTGTACTGTCATTGTGCACCTCCTTACCTCCACTTTCTATGAGAATGTCGAACAAGTCATCCATTTGCTGGCTGGTTGCCGTGGGAACCTGAAAAGACAGTCAACGAGGTTTAGAGACATGAAGCTTGTTCACCAAAAGTGAAACAACTCCTCAAGGCTGGAAAACTAAAAATAGACTCAAACGTTTGTTATACTTTTTTTCTATTCTGAAGGATTCAGCAGGTTCTGCTGGAGAAATGTATGGCATGGTCTGAGTGGTGCTTAGTGGGGTGTAGCTAACCTGTGAAACATGGTTTGCGTGCAAGTTGCGGCTCTGTTTGACGGCCTCCTCGTAGCGGGGAGGCTCTCTTGTCTTGGGAGGTTGAGTAATAAGGGAGGTGGACTGAAGGATGAAGGTAGGCTGGGGAGAAGAAGACTGGAAGAATAAGAGAGAGATGGTGAATATACAGGCAGAATTAAGAACACTGTAATGTAACCCTCTGCGCTGAAATAAAATAGGAAATTAACTCAAAAAGCATTCGTAATTAGGATAGATTGAAGTAAACCCTCTCCAGTAATAACTCAGCTCTGATACCTTATTGAAGGGTCCATTGGAGATGTGGTTGGGTGAAGCCCGGGGAGAGACCCTGTTCTCTGGGGAGCTTCTCAGGAAACACTGGGGATTCATCTCAGGTCCAGTCTGGTTCTCCAAACCAGTGGCGTTATTGCACATAGTTAAAGTCTGTCAAGACACAAGACAGAGTCATCAGTCCATCATGTATCACGGAATTGACATCATCATAATAACAGCGAAACCAGACAGATATAAAAATAAGACAAAAATTCCCTTAAAAAGTCAAAAGTTCAAGGGTCGTATTCGTCATGTGGTAATACTACACAAAAAGCTGTAGCTGTTGTTTTAAAGGAGGAAGTGAAAGTACAGCAAATGGGACATGTTTTACAAACACACATCCCTGTGTGGGAAGACTTGTAAATTATACACCATTAGCTTAATGAGTTTGTGGCACAGCTGACCCGCTGGATTTCTGAAGTGTGAAACATGCAAACTGTGAAAGTAAGTATGTTTCTACAGATAAATGATCATGGCTAAGACTGACTAATTAACTGGAACTAACTGACTAATAACTTCCTAATAAGAGTAAAGAGTTTAGGATTGTTTTATACACTTAAAGAACTCATAGGACAGTGACAGGGGCAGGGCACAATGACACATTAGCAAAAGTCACGAGCACATTTATCACAGAAATGCAACTAGTTACGTGCTTTGACTGACCTGTAGCAACTGGTTGTGGTTGGCTAACTGCTGACTGGGTGCTGTCTCCATCTTAGTGGTTGGCAGCTGAGGAACTGAGCCCTGCACCAGGCCTGGATTTGAGACGGTGGCCTGAAGAACAGGCTGACATAAGGAGAAAGGGGGTAAGAACATTATTTTGTCTACGCATCAAACTTTTTAAATATAATTTGTAAAACTACACTGAATCTGTAACCCCCCAAAGCAGGAGAGCACGCTCCAACAGTTGACAGCCTGACACATTATTTAACTCTACTTTATTGCAATCTCACCTGCAGGCTCACAGTGGTGCTTGGCAGCTGGATTGCAGTGGCGTTGTTTGGTAGTGAGACTGGGAGGAGGATTTGAGTTCCAGCCTGGCCAGTTGTGGTTAACAAGGTCTGAGGCTGACCCAGCACCTGGGACACCCCACCTGTGTGGCTGATGAAGAACTGCTGCAGGCTGGGGGCTGCGGGTTGGGACTGGGGTTGGGTCTGGAGTTTGGGACTTCTCTGTGACTGAGAGAGTAGCTGCGGGCTGGTGGTTACTTGGGACTGGGCTTGGGGCTGGATCTGGGTGATGAGCTGGGTTTGGGCCTGGAGCTGGAGCGGCTTGCCAGAGGAAACAGTCACATCCTCCAACTTGACCATAGTTGGCAGGGGGGAGAGAGTCTGAGAGCCCAGGATAGAGTTAGGGATTGTAGCTGTAGTGGATGAGCAGTTAGACAGGACTGTACCCTCCATTTTTACTACATTTGAGCTCAGGACAGTGGGAACAGGGTTCATGGCAGGTACAGAGGTGAGTTTGGGAGACACAGTGGCAGAGTCGGAAGTGCTGGCCCTCTTCTCCACCTCCAGCTGCATCTTCAGCACCTCCACCAGCCTCTGCTCCTGCTCCAGCTTCCTCATCAACTCTTCGATCTGTCGCTCCTTCTCATGGAGCCTCCTGTCCTTTTCCTCTGGGACTTGGAAAGACAGGAGAGGCGAGGACCTTTGACCCGCCCAGCCAGAGCTTACCGTTTGTGTTTCAGGAGTCTCAGACATGCCTACATCCTGGTGGTGGGTGGAGGGATCGGTGGGATTGGGTGAGACCGGCGGTGTGGGGTTCATGCTCTCTGCAGCCACCTGCTGGACTGGGAAGACTAAAGCAGGGGTGGTAGTGGTGCTGTTGACCTCCATGGGGACGGAGGAGACGATGGTGGTGGCAGGAGCGGGAGCGGTGTTAGGAGCAGAGGTGCTAGGATTGTCCTGGAAAGGCTTCAGTCTTTCTATCAGATCAGTCTTTGTTCCTGACACAGGGAGGCCACGCAGCTTTAACTCCAGTTTTAGCTCAGCCACCTAGGAAAATATAAACATCAGCAATTATAGGCTCATGCTAGAGTAACAGGGTTTTATGAAAGGTGTAGTTATAGTTTAAGTCTAACTTTTATGTCAAGAGTAAAATGAGGAAATTGAAACCACTCTCATATCTGTTTGTTAAATATAAAGCTACAGCCAGCTGCCAATTAGCTTAGCACAAAGACTGGAAGCAGAGGGAAACAGCTACCCTGGTTCCATCTAAAGTAAAGAAAAAAAATCCTATTTCTTGACTGGGCCAGTGACTTCCTTGAGCTAGGCTAAGCTAACGATAGTTGCATAAATCTTCCAATCTAACTCTGAGCTGACATCATGGCTTTGTGAAACTTCCTAAATGACTTGACAAAAGCTTGATTTTATGTGGAGTGGTCAGATTTCTATGAAAACATTCTTGTACCGGCTGTGTAATATACTATATACACAGTTCAGCAATTTTAACAGCTGAGTAATTTCTTTCTTTAACCTACACTCATAAATTTTAAGCTGCCGGACCGCGCTGTCCCGGGCTACAAGGGCGAAGGGTGCATGTTTGTTTTCAAATACCTTCATCTCCTCCAGGTTTGCAGGCAAGACTCCTGGCTTGCGGTTAGAGAGCGAGTTGTTTGAGCGAGCAGGAGCCACGGTGGGAGGTGGAGGTGCAGTGGGCAAAGACACCATGATGGAGGTTGGCAGGCTGCTGGTGCTGCTGCTCTGACCCTCTGCCACAGGTCTACAGAGAGAAAGAGACACCAAGATGAGGTCAATGTTATTTCAGGAAATAATTTACAATACTTCTGTATCACATGGATGAGAAACAGAAAAAGAGGAAGACAAGGTGGGGGGAGGTGGACAAAGGAGTAGATCATTGATTAGAGATAAAAGAGAAAGACAGGAAAGAGAGAGAGGAAATATGTTTCCAACATGAACAGACCATCCATCCTGTGCCCTGCACCTCACACTAACAAAGCCAGTCAACCAAACCACAGTGAACTAGCACATTTCAAAGGGAGCTTGGCCATGCTGCTGCTGTGAGGACATTCATGAAAACATCCTGTTATTAATATGATTAGATGCAGAGTTGTTATTGGAAACTAGCTAATGGCCCTCAGGTCACTGAAAACAACAACATTTGGCTTGCATTCAGGTATTTTCAGATAAAGAGTCGTGGAGGCAAGCCAAACCAGTTTGTGTTTTTAGAGAAAACACAAAAATGGCCTGAAAAACATAAATCTGCGATATAGGTAGAAATAAAACAACACGACTACTATTTTTTTTTAGTTGTAAGGGTGTATATGCATACTTGAGTGGTGCTGGTAATATAGTCTGGTAGTTGTAGTGCTGTTGTTGCTGGCTGAGGATCTGCAGCTGGAGGAACAGCTGCTGCTGCTGCAGTAGTCGGGCATAAGAGGAGTCCATGGGTGCTTCACTGGCCTCCTGCTTCTGGTCTGGGGGAACATACTGGTGGTACTTGAGCTTTTTCACCCTGGGTCTGGGCTCTTTGCCCTTCTTACTGCGGCTCTTCTCTGAGGGCGTCTTCTGCTGGCTTTGCTGTTGTGGGAGTACATACGGGTTTTTTGTCCAGCATTCAAATACAGAAAGAGGTGACAGTATATTTAGGAGGTGGAAAGAAATTCTCTTACTTTTATCAGAGTTGGGCCTGGTTTGGAAGGAGCAGCTGTGGTGACTGGCTGTGCAGGAGTGACAGCTGGGCGGCTGGTAGGCGGCTCATTGGTAGAGATCACTTTCACAAAGTCTGTTGTTGCTTGTGTAACAACTGGGAATGCCTGAAGAAGCAGGACACAAAGACACTTATAACTGCGAAGCTAACACCGAACTTCTTCTAAACATTATAAATTACAATATCAGTGTTATGAAGATACACAAATCTGCAGCTACTAGAACAGGCATAACACAAACACCAGTCCTAGATCTGACCTGCAGCAGGGGGCTGGGTAGTGCTGGTGGTGCTGGGGCTGGAGAGGGTGTCTCTGGCACTTTGCTCTCTGCTGGAGAGGGGACAGAACTCTGGGACTCCTGGCTGGCCGGCTGCTCTGGGGACAGGGCATCGTAGCTGTCTTCATCCAAGACCTTAGGATAGTTCACCTGGCCCACTGAGAGACAACAACAAAGCCCAGTAATGAAACTTTTATCATAATTTCACTCCAGTTCCCTGCATGGTTGACCAAACAACGACCTTTTCCTGATAGTGTCTATTAAAGCAGAAACCATTCTATCCTCACTGTCTCTCACCGATTATTGCCTGTTTAAGGGTGGAATCCACCGGCAGGATGTTCTTCTCCACCAGCTCCATGGGACCGGGTCTCTGGGCGATCTTCTCGTTTAGATTGTCGGCCAGTCGCGCCCTCTTCAGTCTCATCTGGGTGGCCTGTAGTGATGGTTCCGCTCCAGTCTCTGAGGAATGGAAGAAAAAAAAAAAGTCACACATAGAGGATATTTCCACTTCTAGACTTCTTGTTGGTGAAATATTTGTTTACAGCACAGTGTCTGGTGCCAACTGAGTAAATGCTTGTAATAAACATTGTAGCATACAGGAAGATCAAAATGTTCAGTCTTTTTATTCCAATGCTTTAGTTAAAGCTCCATAGGGAATACTATATGATACAATAAGTGTATGTAATGAGAACTACAGTAGTACCTTGCAGGATGTGCATCCTGACCAGCTCTGCTCTCTCTGGACGACTGCGGATCTTGTGCTTGAGAAAATTCTCAGTCTAAAGAGAAAGACGAACACAGAACTGTCAGTAAATCATCTAAAAGTTCATGTGCTGTTCTGTTCTGCTGCACTGAGTAGCACAACAGTCGAGGAGTTCTTTTATTCTGCTTCTCAGTCCACATTTAGCACTTTATTTCCAAACTGGGTGCCTTACCCTGGCTCTCTCCAAACTGCGAATCTGCCCATGGAAAGCCGCCGGGCTCTTCAGAGCTACAACACACAACATTTTTATTTTTATAAGTTTGTAAACAAATGATTTAGATGGAGAAAAAAATTGAGCAAACATGTTTATTATCTCAGCTATCAGGGTCAGATTTTGTTATCGTATTTCACGCCCACACCACAGTAGCTTTTCAGTGAGTGATGGACAACTGGCAGTGCTGATACTCACGTGGCATGATGCCCTGCTCCACCAGCTGCTCCCGAGTTCGCCTTTGCTGAAGCCTCAACTGCAGGACTGAAAGCAAAAAGGGAAAAAAAATGTTAGAAAAGAAAAATGTAGGCATTTTGATTGTGATGTTAAGTAGAAAAAATAGTAGAAGAAAAAAGAAAAACATGATGGAAAGCAGAAAGGAGATGAGGTAGTGTTTAAAAATAAAAGGGGAAGAAAAATGAGATCAGACTGAAAAGGTAACCAAATAGTAACTTCGCCCCACCCCGATATATCACTCATATTCTGCTCTCTAGTCATTAGTTTGACAACATACGATAACGTTACTCTATAAGAGGCATTATATACTCAGGACTCAACTTATCTTACCAGTCGGCCGCATTTGTATAAACACTGTTTACACTCTGAAGTGCATGGTAGTGTGGTGAATCTATATCAGCTATTCCTGTGCTGCCATTAAAAGCCGGCAGAGGAGACTTCAACTCAAAACAGTTGGTCCGATCTTGTGGGATTCGTTTGTAGCTTCACTTCTGAGTTACCTAGTACAACTTCAGTCCTTTAAAGCCTTTTAAAGCCTTTTAAAAGTTCTATATGAGATTTAAAACATTAATATAGCAGCAAACAACTATTTTCTGTATAAAGGTTTAGTGAAGTAATGGTGTCATGAGACGAGAAGGACATCACACTTCCTCTACCTGCGTTGTTTTTTACAAGCCAGTGTGTAAGCCATCTGGCCAGCCGCGTATTATAGTGCATGCGAGTCCCTCCGTGTACGTGTAAGTGAGGAGAGCAACTGAAACTGCTGTTTTTCTCATCTATGTCAGTGAATTAAGGATTTATTTCAAGCAAAGCAGAGGTTGGTGATTGTTGGAACTGTGGGAAAACTAACAAAGACACTTTTATTTAGTTTTATTTGATTTCGGTCCACTTTAGATGAAGTTACGATGTAATGATGATATGCAAGGCGGAATTACTGTTTCTGTCTATGGTGTCTGGTGACAGCCGATAGTGTTATACGGGCTGTTTTGAAACTTAGAAAAACAATCTGGCAAACTTTCTCCAAGGATTAGCTGAAGTCAAACGCAGGTATTTTCTCATTTAACTGTAAATCAAAGATTTATTTCGACCAAACTAGCAATGGTGATTATTGGAAGGAAAAGATGGTTTTGGTGAATTTGATCTTGTTTACGTTCAGTTTGAAGGGTGTTTTACGATCCTCTACGAGATAAAATTGCTGGAATCTGGTCGGCTGTAGCGCCCATTGTTAGTCTGACATGCCGGTGCTCTAATTTGGTATCTAGTGGCAAGAGAATTTCATATATAGCCTTTCAGAATAGGATGGTGTTTCATTCTGTTTTCCTAAAAAGCCTAACTTAACACATTTCCCAAGCTTTTATTATGTCCTGAAATCTTTTTTGACCCCTGCTTCCCAAAAACAAAACAAGGCACGAGGTATGAAGCAATCACAAGAGGTCATCCACGACCAAAATACTCCGTAAACAATGTTGTATCAACCCTCAACACTTCCAGAACTCCCGGACAAGCTGGCAACAGCATTAGCTCACTTCAGTTGAGCAATCACGACAATTACAGCAAGGAAGGCATGTGCTCACCTGCTCTGAAGTGAGTGCAGCAGTCACTGAGTGGCTCTACCTCGATACAGGCCATTTCTTTACACTGAGACTCCAGGCCTGTTGAGCAGTCCAAAATACAACTGAGGGATTAAACCATTATTTGATCCCAAAGTGTCAGCCTTTCTCTCGATCCCGTCAGCTGCAGTGCAACATGATCAAGCGAATGATAAGAATCCACAGTGTTGTGACGATTCTAAAAATTTCAGAGACAACATTAGGCCCGTCCTTTATTCATCTACTCCTCCCCTTTTTATTATTGCAGGGCCACAACCCCCTCCTCCTCTCCTTCACTCACTTCCCTCTCTTACTCTTTCAGTTTGGGATGGGTTTGTTTTCTGCCTGACGGCAATCCCAACATAGCCTGGAGTAAAGAACTATGCTGGTTCCTTGTAACTACTAAAGAAAAGTCAAGAGTTTAAATCCGTACCGAGCATATTAACTTGGAAGACATGCAGATTTGCATGAAGTCAATACTGATCATGAGTAAAGACACTTCTCCATTCACAGGAAGGGCCAAAACCTACAGTGAAAAACAAACTCTCTTGCTTCAACAGGAAGCAGCTGGCGTGACAGACTTTACATCTTTTGTGTTTCTCATCTATCTGGTGACCATTCATTATTGTCATAAACACCCTGAGGTGATGAACATAAACTGGGTGAAAGTCTCCCAGGGTGAGACCACTGATTGCATCAAACTGTTGCACATCAAACTGTAACCTTTTGTGTACTTTGACTGGGAATACTGCAGCTTTCAACTAAACGTGTAGTGAAACATTTACAGACATCTACCCTGGCCCCTGTTTAAACAGATATTTTGCAGGTTTGTTGGAAAAGAGCTGTACATCCCTGAATGAAATGAACAATTCGGAATTCAGTAAGTAGTTGGAGAAAGGTATGCAGCGGGCATGTTTGTTTAAGGTGATATATGCAGACTTCCAGTATGTGGCATTGTCCTGAATTCCTCCGGGAAATGTTGCTCAGCTCGACAAACAGATGCCGACCTGTGACCTAAGCAGGCTGAGGAGAGCTGGATGACATGACTAAGCTGTTTATACACACAGAGATAGGCACACACATATATGGCTGGTCAGCAGATGAATGGAGCAAACACAGGATAGCATAAAAATGCGTCTGTTTCACCTGCAGTCAAAAAGTGAGCGCTTTAATATTAATCTAGCGGTGGATTTAAAACATTCAACAACCCGAATAAGACACAAGTTGGTCATTATAACTGATGAAATGTGTTAAACGAAAAAGGATGGATTGACTAGTGGACAATCTGCCCTCGCTCTGGCCTTCCTATACAGTCTACTGACGGTCGGACTGATCAATATAATCATTGTGCCAGCAGCCGGTTAGCTTAGCTTAAGATCAAGACTGGAAACAGAAAGAAACAGCTAGCCTTGCTCTGTCCAAATCACAATCTGTCTACTAGCACTTCTTCAACTCACCAATTAACACGTTATATCTCGTTTGTTTAATCAGTACAAAAACGGAGGTGTAAAAACATCACCGTGAGGTTACCAGGCAACCAGAGAAGAAATTGTCCCACACATAACCCTGGTAACTGTTTTAACACTTTGGCTTTTGTACAAATGAAACAAACAAGATAGAAGGTGTTAATTAATGCGCTTTAGAGGTGCTGGTAGGCAGATTTTGTTAAAATTTGGACAGAGCCAGGTAAGGTGATTCCCTTTGTTTCCAATCTAAGCTAACACTAAAATAGCTCCAGCTTCATATTAAATTGGCAGATATGAGAGTGGTCGCAATCTCCTCTAACTCTGAGAATAAAAGCTAATAAGTTTATATCCCAAAACGTTGCACTATTCCTTCACATTTGTCAAGACTGACAGAAACATTTACTATTTATAAACTACTCAAACTATTTCTGAGGACTCCTATTTTAAAGTAGCCGATTATCATGTGGAGATCCTATTTTAGTCTAAAAGTTGGGCAATATACACTTAATAAACTTGAGATTATCTTTTGTTTCAACCTGTGGGCTCCTTGAAACCCTCGGCAGGATTTTGCTCTCATCAATAACCTTATTGATTTCACATCACAGGCTACCTCTTACCGGCCAAACTCATTCCCTGTCACAACAAACTCACTGCCCTGAGTCTTGACTTCCCACTCTGCTGACAGAGCAGTTCTCCTCCAGACTCTGAGCTACGGCCTCCTGCCCCCCACACAACTGGAGTGGTCTCAGACACTCAGACCTGTCATGATGGCAGACAGATTAACACCTGCATGTTAAAACCAATATGAGAGAGGGAACTTTGCGGTTGGCAAAGTGCTGGGGATGGCTCAGAGGGTGGAAAGTATGAGGTGTGTGTTCTCACTGGAGGGGAAATGACAAAAGTCAAGATGATGAGTGGGTGCTACTACTGTTGACATTCCACAAAGATTTTTCCACCGTTGAGACATCTTACTGCGCTCTCCTACAGACAGCAGCAGCCACCGTGCACAATGGCACAGAATCCTACATTTATCCGAAACATGTTTAATCCAGTCTGGAATAGATCTGGCTAAAACACCCTGCGTTTGTTGACTGTATCTGACAAATTAGATTTTCCTAAGCATGGTGATCAATATTGCAGTGATTGCACTGGACTGATCTCCCTACACCATCTAAGCCATGATTAGGAACTGGCAAATGCAGCAGTGAATCTAACCCACTCCTAAAGCCTGTTAATCACGTACCCATCCATCAGCGTCTGAGTCAGTCCCATGTGGCTGCTAAAATAACACCAACATCGTGAGGGTGATGAGAAGCGAACATGCAGGCTGACTAGCATGAAGATAATTTTCTTTGAGCATTGTACAAAAGAAAAGTTGACGGAGGTTTTAGGAGTTGAGGACTTTTATTGTCCATCTTGCACTTATAAGTTGATTCAAGGACTACGTGCCCACGTGCATGTGTACATGCATTTTTGAACGGTGTGTAGTTCATCTATGTTTGAAGGGTATTTAAGACTAAGCAGGGCTGACACACAGTACGTGCCACCATGTTGGAGGAGTTGCAACAAAGGCAGAGAGCATAATGTTATTACATATATCAGCTGTTATGCTTGTGTGTGTGATTTATGTGGAATTTAATTTCTGTGAATGTATTTAGGGAGGCGGTTGCTCCACATTTTTAACCCTCTATATGCATTCCTTGGGTCTTTAGAGATCCAATCATATTGTCTAATTAATTTGTGTTCCTCAATTACACCCTTAAGTCCCCTCTATTGTTATTGTTTTGTTGTCTCATGTTTTCCTATAAAAAAAAAAGTTTATATGGTTTTCAGAGATGTTTTTTTTCTATTTACAGTATGCAGGCAGCATCTTGTTTGGCTTGATTGTGATCAGTGAGGTTTCTTCAGTTATTTCATTTTGTGCCAACTGATCATTCAGTTAAATCAGGGGCAGAATTAAGAGCACAAGTATGATGGTGTTCACAGCCAAACAGAGGACAGCTGCACACAGCCATTTTGCAATAACCACGAGACAGTGACAGTTTTACTATCACCTTGCTGACTCATCTGAGTTTCATTGAGCCATTACAGTAGCCAATGTGTAACATAGTGCAATATGTGTTTAAACAAATAATACATATGAGATATATAGAATGTGTTAAAAGATTAATATAATTTGAAAACATCTTAGCATGGAAGAGTTACTATGGCAAGAAATAACGTAAAGGTTTATCCGTTTTTTAATAAAGAGAAAGGATGCCTTAAAAAACAAACTCTTCAACTTCAGCTAGCAAAATCTTTATGTTTGTGAGGCTGAAGCCAGTACAGAATTTGGGACATTTTACTTGATAAATCTAAGAATAATTAAAAGTGGAATATATTATTTCTTTAATGTTTTTTTGGCCTGTCATTTAATACCCCCTTTGTTATGTACAGAATTGTTTTGGTCTGTTTAATGTAACTTCTGTCCTAGCATGCCATGACAGGCTTGTACATCAGCACGTCCTCACCATTTTTGCGTTCATTGAGTGGAGGCAGACTCTGTGTGGGCTGCAGCGATAACTCCTCCATCTCATGGGTCACCGCCTCGCTCTGGGGACTGGGCAACAGCAGACTCAACATCCCACAGCCCCCCTCTGCGCCTAGCTGCCCCTGAGAGGCCTGGGGCTCCATCCTGCCTCTGGAGGCGATTGCGGAGGGTCCCAGGCAAGCGATAGGGGTATGGGTCACTGTCCCTTTGGATATGTCTCACTGCTACCTGCGTGGATAAAAGAAAGAAGAGTAGTGAATGACTTAAGAGGGAAAAACAGGACGAACACATAACTCAAGGATACTTTGTGGGCTCCTCATGAATATCAGTAATTCAGAATAATAACCATCATCCTGTTGGTATGACTACTTCACCCAACTGGTGAAATGCTAAGGGTGGCATTTCATTTCAGCCATCTGGAAGAGCTCAGTCGCAGCCCAAATTATTCATTAAACGAGCTGGGTTGGCTATTATTACTGAATAATCACTTCAAACCGCTGCTCATGCGAAACAACGCCAGTTAATGCATGAATGTTCTCTCTGTTCAGACAGGCTTCATAATCTGGAATATGACGTCGCTGTGGCCGTTTCAAACAGAGGGAACGGAAACATTTCAGGGAGCAAAACAAACAGTTTAGTATCCATGGCTTCCCAACAGACTCTTAACCAGCAGATGACAGACTGTTCAGTCTCAATGTGTATGCTATTTATCGCTCTCCAGCAGCACCCACATGCATCCATTCCAGGATCTAAGCACTCTTTACTAACCATCCTGATGTGTTGCTTTTGGATGAGAACCACTGTGTTCCTATGGCTGCTTTTATTTCTCCCTGTAGGCACTTAAAGTGCCAAAGGCATTAGACGGCACAGGGAGACTATGTGGGATAACATGTCTGAAGGCTGTCCATTCTGGTGGGTGAACGCTGATGCCATGTCATGTATCCAAACGCAACAAATCCCAAACCAAATGTTTCATGATCTCTTGATCTGCTGGTATAAAGAATGCTCTGAAAATATACTTTCACAAACATATGCGGACTTTTTGTTGTTTGCCGTACGTAAAGTGACACAGGAATTTGCCCCACCAATCAGATATCAACTATTAACATGGGAGTCAATCCCAGTTCACTTGGCTATTTACCAACAATCTGAATTGGTGCATGATGAATCCGGTCACCACTGCAAAATTACCCCACTTTCTAAAACTTGGCTTCTGACCCGCAGCCACTTTCTGTCCCCTTAATGATGATTGAGTGCCACTAAAACACCATACTACAGACGGAATCACAGCCTTGATGTTCAACAGTTCAACCTCAGTGATGTTGTGTGACAGATCTCAGTAGTAACAAAGAGTTGGATCACAAACTATGGTGGAAAGATAAATAGCACTTGATTCCCATTTGAAGTATCTGGCCCTAGAGCTAATATTCTTAGCTCAAAGTAGCTTTATGGGATCCACATTTTGATTGGGATCTAATGAAAGAGAAGGAAAGACGAAAGTACACACATACTAAAGGAGGGGGGATGGTGAAAAAGAAATACATGACCACAACCTCCTCAACCAGAAATTGGTGACAGGCTGCTCCACCAACACAAAGGTAAACCAAAGGCTATGTTTGTAATTGTATACCAATTGTTGATGTATTGAGAGTAAAAGTCTTTTTTAGTTGATTAGTTCATACCTGTAGTAGCAGAGGACGGCAAGGGAAATAGGAAACAGATGTCCAGGCTAGTTGCAGTCCAGAGTCACTCTAAGCCATGGAGTCAAACCTGGTAGACAGAAAGGAGAATAAACATGAATATCTAAAATGCGTTAGTCTATCAAAACTTTCAGTCTTGTAATGTAATTCTTAAATTGGTTTTCGACAGGCAGCATGCAATTGCTATTGTTGGTCCTTCTTCCTGTGTTCATCCCAAAAAAGTTCCATTTGTCAATGGTAATTTAAAAAGCATTTTGTAAAGATAAATATATATATATATATATATATATATATTACAGAAAGCAAGATGAAAAAAGAAACCAGAAACACTGAAACAGTGGCATTTTTCATAGACGGCATTAGGGCAAAACACACTACAAAAAAGGGAAACGAATAACTACAAGAAAGTAATGTGATATCATGCCTACAAATTATTATCCATTAAAAATGATCAAATAAAAAAACACAGTGCCTGACCAGACACTAATGTTGCTTGAATAGGTGTTTGCAGAGAATGAAACAGATGACAAGTACCACTTAAAAGATGCCTGAATTAAACTAGCAGACACTTCAGGGTGGATCAAAGCCTGAAAATGAATGTTCACAGAACCTGCAGTTCTTTCTGTAGCAGTCTATAGTCAACTGTTTTCACGGTGATATTAATACAACATGTATTTGAACGTATTCACAATATCAACGAAAGAGTGTAAAGAATTTATAGGCAAGCAGAAAAGAGTACGAAGCAGCTACAACCCATTTAACATCATCAACATGCCCGCTAGCTGTGAATTCTCTGGACAATGATCTGCTCTATTCTAGAGCTGTCAATTTTTTTTCTATTATTTATTTATTTATTTTACTTTCACTGCCTTTAAACAACAGTGACAGCTGATGAGTAACAGGAAAGTGGGCGAGAGAGAGGGGATGAAACGCAGCAAAAGGGGCCACAGGCCGGAGTCGAACCTGTGTCCGTGGCAGCAACGACTCAACAAAGGTGAGCTACCGCAGTGCCCCAGGGCTGTCACTTCTTATTCGAACATATGTACAATATGTATAAATGTGGTTCACTTTTGCAACAGATGGTTTAAAGTAGTCTGCCTGGTGATTCAACAGAGGGCTCTCCACTGTCAGCTTGACCTATGGCATGCCTTATTGACCTGTCAGTAAACTAAGTTAGAAATATTATGTGGTTAACTATGAAAATGGAGGACAGTGCAGAGCAAAGCCTGGATCAAAGCTGTCCTGAGTGGACAATCGCGACACTAAAGAGTCTGAGAAGCAGCTTGCATCTGTCTAAAACGTACAAAGCAGCTGTCCAACTCTACATCGACAACAAATCTGCAGACTCACTTGCTGACGTTAGCTTGCCACCCAAGTGAGGCAGCACAGACGAGCGGACCAACATGAAGTGTACCTCCTTGTCTGTCTGCTGTTATTTGGCACACTCAGCTTCAGCAGGCCCCCTTGCCAGAAGCTCGTAAAAATGCCATCGCTGATAAAATAGCAAGATTTATATGAAAGGATAGGCGGATGAGGCCCATTGTTGTGTTTATAAGCAAATGTCTTATCGTATAGTACAGTCTTTATGTTTTCCTGAGTGGTGCCATACATTTGTACTATGTTCTAACATACAGCTCCAACGGGTAAAGTCTAGATAAGTTAAGGGTTGCATTATGATAATAGAGGTGGATTCACTGTGCAGAGGTAACAGAAACTCTCTGTTCTGATGACTGAAGAGCTGTAATGTAACATCACACTGCAGTCTGAGGGAGAGGCTTTCAGAATAAGAATCAATCGGCTGCACACACTCAAGCTTTCAGGACTCTTCACTACATATGCTTATTACACAAGTTAGCTAACATGATTGGGGTTTGATGGGTGTATCAATGTACTGACACAGATAATGTCCTTGTACTACATCTCTGATATTTGCTTGTTTGTTATGTTTGTTTATGTAGTTTCATCCCCGACCACAGCATCAAAAAAGCTATGAAAAAACTAATTTCAGGTCCTACGATTTCTGAAGCATTTTCACTACTGATGCACTATTTTCACAAGTATTTCAATACTTGTATCAATGCTGACTCCTTGCAAGTGTGTGGCATGGTAATAGAAAACAAAAATCGCAATACTAAAACCAAAATAATCGCGTACCGACATAAAAAAAAGGACGGAGAACCTAAGGTGACAGCAGGATTCCAGCAGCCGAAGTACTACATGCTGTGTGTGTTTATCTGTTGGGGCTATGAAAAAGAGAAGATGGAGCAAACGACTGTCACGGCTGACGAGGCTTTGGTGGATAAACATCGGCGCTGCCCTGGCAGAATCAAAGGGTGGATTCCAGATGGCGAGCGCTGCGTGTTGCTGTGCCGTGCACTGTTCTTTTAATGCCACGGGCAACAAGTACCATGTGTTTCATGAAAGGGTAAAGCAAGTATTTGCTGTACACACCAGTAAACACACTATTAAAGTCAAAGGTGGGATCAAACGTAGAGGGTGAGAGAGACATGGGCGCCTGCTAGTCATGTTTATGTTCAAATGTAATGTTGTATTACTTTTCCACAAATGTTTCAACAATGAATGACGGGTCAGGGCTATAAAAAGGTTTGGGTTGTCCGCTGATACGTCACATGACACTAGTCATATTGTTCTGCTACCAGGCAGTGTTGACTATTCTGCCACTGGGTGTGTTTGTTATTTAAACCCTGGCACAGGTGATGTGCAGGGTCTCTGCAGTGGCCCATGCTTATGTCAATTATCAATGCTGTACTGTGCAACCACAGAGATATTAACAAATCTGCCCGCCCCTTCCCTCAGCACGTAGCTTGCTTTCATGCTAAATGTGTTGCCAACATTCATGTTGTATCAACATCAGAAACAAACATCAAGACAATGACTGTCAGAGACAAAAGCAGTTCATTTTCAATGTGTATTCATACAGCTAATGAGGAACCACATTAGGTGCTTATCATGCTTATTGTGGAGCTCAATGCGATGCTAGCATCTCATACCTCGCTAAATCAACTGGGGTGGAATCTATGACGGACTGAAAACAAAAACTGGCTTCAGGTTTCATCTTTGTTTTTATAACTGCAGCACTAGAAGATCAGACTTCAACTAGGTCATCATTTGAGCGTACATTTTTGCAGTATGATGGCAGTATCTAGGTGTGTCAGTCCTGAGGCTGTTCTTTCTCTGTCACAACCTTATAAAAAGGCCTAAAAGTATGCAATGCAGGTGAGAGGGTTTATGACGTTCTACTGTCTTAAAGGACCAGTGTAAAGGATTTAGTGGAATCTAGCAGATTGCAACCCACTGAATACCGTACTAGGGCTCTACCTGACTCAGAATTGTGTCCGTCGAATCAGATCTGGCTGTTAAATACGAATATTTTTTTTATCAGCCGACATGAGTCTCATGTTTTAATGCTTTTATTCGTCATCTGTAATATGAAAACATCAGATTTCCACACAGTCAGAGAAAGTCAAAGTCTGTGTCATGCTCAAAGTTCAGTTACAAAATCCCAGCACACCACGGAGCGTCTCTCCTTCTGGGATGCTGCAGTGCTGTCAGCTTATGAGTCAACCACAGTGGATGGCAGTAGAGGACATTTTACCACCGTCTGTTTCAAAAGAGGTTTAGCTGACTTTACTGACTACTAACAGACTGGAGTACACAAACCCTCAGTTTCTGTCACCGTTGACTGCCTCCATCTTAGTTTGGTGATTTGTGGTCAATTTGAGACTTTGTTTGTGTATAGCCTGACATGCTGTCGCTCTTGCATTGCTCTGTTATAAGGACGCTGCTAAATAATAAAAGTGCAGAGATTCGACTGAAAAAATCCAACTCAACTTGTGGTCTTCTCGAATGAGGACTTAAATCATTGACATTTCACTGGCAGCCCCACTGAACACCCCTCACCTTACCCTCCCGTTCCAAGCATGTAAGAGAAACTATGGTGTCCCCAAAACTCATAAAAGATGCAAAAGGCCCTTTCTTAAGGCTGATGAGACTGGACAAAAAACATACAACTTCTTGTTTGGGGAATCAGGATATGAAACAATATTCAAAGTCCAACCAGCATTTCACAGTCATGTTTTCAGCAAATCAGTTATTTTGCAGACATTCAAATGTTCAACCACAGAGCTATGTATCCACAACAGTAACACACAACTTTCCAGTCTCTGCATACTGACGAGAAGAGGTCATGGGTCAACTTTACTACAAATAGGCCTGGCTGTGAAGCATTCGAGTGATGAAATACCCACAGGCATTTCACATACACACACATTCACTTAACTGACAACATGAGATAACTGAAAACTGCAGCCTCGGTCTGAGAGTTAATAAACCATGAACCTTCAAGGAGGTCTGGTTTCTGTTGTGATGAAACTCAATGACGATATATATTGCCTACATCAAAACAAAGAAAGGTCATGTATAATTCCATTATTGCATGATAATAATAATAATAATAATAATAATAATAATAATAATAATAATAATAATAAATGCATGTTATTTTAGGAACATGTTGTTTTAGATTGGGTTATGCTGTAGATTTCAAAATGTCACTGGTATTTAAGGGAGAATGGGGTATGTCAAAAGTGACGTCATTAAACGCCATTATTCTATACATCATAACATAATATATTTATATATATATATATATATATATATATATATATAAATAAAATACAGTTTCAGTATGCAGGTTTCTGGGCCTTAAATAGTCCACGTCTAGTCCAACAAAAATGTCTTCTTTTATCCAGAGATAAGACAAATGATGTCATAACTGTGGCTCATTCATTACAGTCACCGTTCTGCTCTGTTCCCACAGACGTGTGGTGTCGTTTCCTTCCTGCCTGCCTTTGTGGACTTCTCTGAAAAGATCTTCTAAAAACAGTACAAAAGGATCGGACATACAAAAAAAAACAAGGTCTCACTGGCTGGAAGCCTAAAACTATGGGACTGCACCTAAGAAACGAAGGACCATTACAGCAGCAACTTAGCTACACTTCAGAAGAGAGCGCTGCCTGCAATGAAGAATAATGTAGGCAGGTTATGTAAAGTAGTTTCCGAGAAAAGAAAGCCTGAAGAAACTGCCCAGGGTGGCACCCTTTTCTCTGGGTAGATAACTCTGGCATGTCAGTACTAATAACTCCTGCAACCCAGTAGAGTCCAGTTAGCCACAATCACTGTAAGGAGGAAGGAGGAAGCCCATTCTAAAGAATCAAACACTATAAAATACAAACATGTCTGCCTGCATTGTGATATCTGGTTTCATTTTAATTTAATTCAGCACGTGGAGAGCATATATGATGGAGGGTCATGGATACCCTAGTCTAAAGTGATGCAAACCAATACTACACCAGGAGGCTGAAATAAGCCAAACACACAGGGATATATGGCTCACAGCCTTGGGATAATTACTTTCCCTTCCAACCATAGTGCATAGTGTTTAAATAAAAGCTAACAATTCACACTTTTCAGACAGACTTTGACTGGAAAGGCCCGCCACTGAAACCCACCACATCCTGTCTGCCTGTATGACTCACACACACCGCGACCTGGTTGGATTTGCTGCAGCAGTGGCGTTACCTCACTGTCCTCGCTCCAATCGATTGGCAGGCAATAAGATAACATCATGAGGTTTGTGCAGGCGAGAGGGGGGCCTCATTACACAGCGTGCCTGGTTAGTATTACCGGAGTAACTTGGCTGCCAACCCGCCATCAAACTGTCATTCACAGAGCATCCCGGCTCAAGAAGAAATGGCTGATATAAGATACAAAGTCTATACCACACTCACAAATAGTAACTTAACAAGTAGATAGTTTACAGCAAAAATACATTTCCCCAGCGGTGTTATTATTGACATGGCTGTCTGTTATCGCAGTGGTGGAGGCGGGTGGGTGTGGGATCAGCTAACGGCGGCTAGTTACTTTAAATCTGACAGGTGAGTGAGCAGCAGATAGTGCCCATCATAAAGGACAAGGAAAAGGCTGGCGTGGCCACGATAGCTGGGACTAGAAAACATGTCTCAAAACAAGTTACAGTTAAAGCCTCGTCGCTCCTGCTTTGCTGTGTAGTCTTGCCGAGCCTCGCCTGCCCGTCTCTGTCTGCATTATCGCGAACCCTCCTCGACAACAACCTCCTCACAGTTTTCGCCAGTTAGCTCGGTTTAGCTAACACGGGCTAACATGCTAAAAACATGACAGCGCGGCTCCGGGTCTGTGGGCTTACCGAATTACGAAGACTGGGAACCCGAATCAGCCCGAGCTCTGGTTCACAAAGAGATGTCCATTAATGTCAGTGGAGCTGTCTTCTGTGTTTATTTTTTTCCCCCCTCTAGCTATGAGATTGAAGTTTATTTCGCGGAGTAAAATGGCTGCGACTGGTCTAGGTTAGGATGCAGAGTGACGTAATGACGCTGTCAGACAGGAAGAGTCGGGGGGAGTGGCGGAGGGATCTGTATCAGCATTTTATTATTTCTACTGTATCAAACACCACAAATCCACCACTTAGCTCTGAAAATGATCAGCAAATACATCTGCTTCTTGTTCTCACATATTATTTATATTACTTGCTACAGTGACAATGTCAGACCTCCACAATGAGGAGAGTAAAATCAGGCATCCTCATTCATTCCCTCTGTATCCTTTGTATGCTGCTGTTAGATTTCACTTAAGAAATTAAAAGTACAAATCTAAAGGTAAAGTAAAGCCAGATTACTCATGTTCTACAATGAAAGACCACTTGCAGTCAGGAAAGTGTGTCGTATTGAAGGAGTGCATCTGACACTGAGAACAACAACATGCTCTGGAATGGATGACTTTAACTAGTACATAAGGTAAAAGTAGGTTTAAAAATAGGTGTAGTTCATGGGTGGGAAGGAGGAGTGGCTTCTTGGGCTCCAGCCACAAATGTTAGAGCTTTTAAAACAACTTAAATTTTATGTAATTTCCCCTCAGTCTCTCTAACTGAACCAGGAAAAATCAATGGAGCAAAAGTTCTATTACTGGGGACGTATTGCCATCTATTACATTAATGACATAAGGATTCACATGTAGATGTGTCAGCAACATTCCTTCTGTGGACTCTACTCCAGCATAGTTGGAGAATAAAATAGATTAGGAAGCTGTACAGTAAAAAAATTCAAAGATAAGTAAAAATGACTTTTGCTTCTTTTTAGGCAGGAGTGAAAATTAGTCATCCTCAGGATTTGTTATGTTATGGTTTTCTGAATGATGAACACAGCTGGAAAACAATTAGATACAAGTAGACTATTTTTTTTCCTGTGCAACTATCATTCATCAACATTTTCATAATGATGAGTTTTAGGCATGCTATTATCTCTGTTGGCTTAAAAAATGGTGCATATAGCTGCTGTTAATGGAAAAAAAAATCTCACCGGGGCTTAGGTGTGTAGTTCCGTTTCGCAAGTCTTCAAACTTTAGTGGATGAAAGGTCTAAAGGAAACTTGAGAAGCAAATTCTGAAGAAACTGTGATGTGAATGCTGGATGTTGGAACACTAAACTGAATTGGTGGTTTTAATTTGTTGGATGAGTAACTGAAGGAAAGTTGCTAAAAGTGAGAAAAGGTCACATCCTCATCAAAACCTAAAATAAATGTTTACTGTATATTTTAAGAGTGCGGTACCCTTTAGGTGCTGTTCTCGAAAGACAACTTTATTTTTTCAGAATGTAAAAACATTTTATTTCAACGTTATTAAAAAAAATAATGTTAATAATGTTTGCATTCGAGTGGTTTACAAAATACAATAGAAAAACCTGAATTATTTCAGTTCATTCTGTACATTAATATAATACAAATTTCTCTTCTGATGACTCTACTAATACTCACACTTTACAAATACAAGGAGCAAATTCAGTCTACCTGGTTCTACAGTCACACTATTTTCATCCAGTTTTAAAATGCAAAACTAATCCTGATGCTAGGATCTATATTTATTTACCTTAGTCAGGTGCTTTACTGCCTATCCTGTTTGGCCTTCTGCACAGGGGCAGGGACGTTAGCAACATTATGCAGAAACTCAAACAACAACTTAGCGTTGTTAGCATTGCCAAGTATTTCAGCTAGCTTGTCCTGGCTGAGTTTGACTAAATCTGCCACACTGTCTGCATTTTTTATAAGTGCCCTATAGTTTTTTGTATTGACCCCAGGCATTTTCAACAGGAAGTCATAAGGTCCAGGGTTGTACAGGTCTGCTGATTCAGCCACCATGTCTGACTCGGCTGTGACTGCCTGAGCTGCCGCAGCATCGGGTTCAAAGCGACCCTGCTTTAGATCCAGGAAGAGGTCCGCTGTGGCGTGTGGAGAGGGACACCAGAGTATACGCAGTCGTGGGAAATGCAAGGTGAGTAAAGTGAGTTTTGAAGAAATATCGTTAGAAGATATCTCATGACGGAAATCCGATCGGGCCATTAAGGAAAACGGTTTCTGTGGGTCGAACTCAATGAGGAGCACTGGTTTCTTGTAGTAGCGGGTCATGGAGAGACACTGGGTGTAGAGGCGGCCGCTCTGCAATGAGCCAATCAGATCACTGACGCTCTTGCGCTCGACGCATGTGTCCGGGGTCAGGATGTAGTCACCTACTTCTAGGGTGACGGGTTCGATGTCCAGGCCACGGCGGTGCAGCAAGGAAGGCAGCTCACTGCGGAACTCACGCATGTCCACAATGACTCGTGAGGGCTCTTTGGCCTGCTCCTGGCCTCCTGGTTATTGGACAGGAAATGGAAGTACAAAATAATGACACATTTGAGATGACACCAAATTCAAAGACAATCAAAAAAAAGAGTACATTTCTTGAGTTTTCAAAGTAGACATGCCTGCTTTGCGGGTGTTGGTGGTGGCATTGGCAGGCTCTAAATTTCTAGCAAGGTCCAGGTTGGTGTCTTCTCGTCCCTCCCTCTCCTCTGGGATGACCATAGTAGCCTTTTCCCTGCAAAAAAACACATATACGAGCGGCAATGAGGAACCAAAACCTTAACAAAGCACACACCAACATATACTAAGGTGCTGTTAGGACAGAGAAATGGAAGAAATGATTCTGACCTGATGAGGTGTTCAAAGGCTTTCTTTTCCTTAGATAGCGCCGTCAGGTACTTCTGTTCTTCTGTCGAGCCTCCGTAGATGAGGAAGTACACCCTGAGTGGCTTTCCGGGCCGGCTAGCTTTGTAGATCTCCAGCTGGCGGACAAAACTGAGTTCAGCGTCGTACAGCACCACGAAACTGGGCTCCACCTCATGCAGAACCCGCGTCAAGCTGTGGGGGTCAGTGAGGCCTTTCAGTGGGTGAATGACGGTCAGCGGCTCCTTTAGGACGCCATAGTAGGCATCTGATGACAAGTCCATCTTCAGCTCTTCTTCCTCCTCTTCCTCCATTAGTTCATCATCATCCCCACTGCTGCCCATGACCGGCACTTCATCTGTCTCCTCTTTCCCCACCATCTGAGTCAGGGTCAGGGTTGGCCTTTTTTTACTCTTTGTGGACTTTGCGGTTTTTTTTCTGTGCAGGCTCCTTCCCCTTGGCTCCTTTTTTAGGCCAGCCTTTGGCCTTTTTGTGCGAGTCAAGTTCAAAGGCAGCGGCTGCAGCAGAGTCCAGTTTGCCGATTGTGCGGGCATATAGTCTGTTAAGCAGCCAGTCAGACCCATGCCTGATGTACTGCTGCAGCTGGGCACAAGTCCTGTCATCACTGGCACAGATCAGCACTGGACCTGGGGGTGAAATGTTAGGCAGTTAGACAGATACACACACGAACAACAGCGTTAGGCAAGTGTGTACACCCTTCTGTTAACTAACAGTGAAATATCGTCATCATATACGTGGCAAGTATAAATACACCTTTTTGACAGTGGATATTGGGACTCATCAAATACAGGTGTAACTAATAACATTAGTAGCTGTGGTGCTATCAGGACACTTCATTGCTTTATTTCCTTGTAATGTATATAAATTATATATATTTAAGTCATAGTAATTAACAACTACATTGCCTCAATGTTATTGATTTATGGTGGCTAACAATATGATGTTCTGTTGGTCCAGAGGATGCTCTGGCCATGTCTGATTTAATTTCTGTACACACCCAAATGTACAGCTAAACAATCAGCTGGCTAATGGTTACTTTTAATCATTAACTTATGCAGAATTTACTCCATGTGGGCTCTAGGCTGCTAGCATACATAACTTGGAGTGGATGGGGCACTGAGAACCGAGCTACATTGTGTAGTTAGTTGGAAACTGCACATTTCTCTGCTTCTATGTGATGTGCTTTCGCTTGATGTTGGAAAATATTGCTTGTGTTTCCGCCCTTACATGCGAAAGATTTGTTTCTCCTCAGGCAACGAGCATTGTCTGCATCGACTCGAGTGAAGTGTAATCGGAGTTTTGAGCATTTAGAGAGAAGAACAGAACAAGGTCACTGTGTGTGTGTGTGTGTGTGTGTGTGTGTGTGTGTGTGTGTGTGTGTGTGTGTGTGTGTATTGCACGTGTGAGAGAGAGGCACAGAGATTCTCGCACATCACACGCTCCGAGCGAGAGATCTCTCCTTTGGATTGGGAATAGAGTAAATGCATCATAGACAAATGTCTTCATTTCATAATATTAATAATTAATACTGTCAACAGGACCAGTAACGTCGGAGTTTATCAATACTAAGGTCTTTAATTTAGGTCCGGGGCCATTTAATAGGGGGTTTTGATACCCATCCCTAGTATGATGTAGTCTACAAAGCAGTAGCACATGGCAGTAAACCAGGACAAACCAGCACACCCTGAGGATGACTTCGTGAAATGTCAGCTGTGTTCGGGCTGGCCTCGCTGCTGGTTCTAAATATAAATTTGAATTCAATTTTCTTTTATCCTTTTCTTATGTTAGTGCTATGTAGAAGGCCAACATTTACTAAAAGTACTTTATATAGAGAACATAACCACTTTTTCTAAACTAAAAGGTAGCTGCTATGAAATTCTATTAATGTAGTACATTATATGCAAATCCATGGACCCTTATAATGCTTTAACAGAACTGAGCTCTAACCTGGTTCATGTTGAGAGCTCTTGTTCTCTTTCTCAATCTCCTGCAGTACCTCCGTCAGAGCCTCCCACTTTGGGCTCTTCTCCAGCACCAGTCGCCGTTTCACCTCTGAAACACACAGAATTACACAGAGCCTTTAGTCATTTCAACATCAAAACACGAGCAGGTGTCGTTGCTGATATCTACTCTGAAGAAAGTCAGAGAGCTGTTTATTGGTCAGTTACCTAAAGCAGGGGATGACTTTGGTTTCTCTGCCTCCGCTCCCACTTTGAGTTTCTTCTTGCTCTCAGGGATGTGGTACACTCTGCCCCTGGCATTCACAAACATGGAGGTACTGGAGTCGAGG